ATTATACAAAGAAATCCTTTGATGAGATACAAAATTAAAGTCAGCAAATCCCTACTTTCCCAGCTTTTCTGGGTCTTGTCTTTCAAAGTCCATACTTTCGAAAGTAATGTTCGATTCTTCCGCTTCCATTGCAATCGGTTCTGGTACTCCCTTTTCTTCTTCAGTTTTTGCTTCTTCAGCAGCTTTCGCAGCCGCTTCTGCTGCCAATCGCTCATTAATTGCAGTCTAAAAATAAAAACTGGATTCGTTTTGAAAGGATTCTAATAACTAGTTCTGATACGGATTTACATGAGAGAGAAAACAATTAAATTAAAGAATCATTAGGCTAAAAGAAACAAATCTTTATAAATTATTACAAATTTAACAAATGCATCACATGTGCAAAGTGACCTCTCTTAACATATACAAATTGTACTTCTTAAATATCTGTTAATGGATCGAATCATTTCAAAGCCAAAAAAAAAAAAAAAATACAGAAACAATTACCTGGCGAGCATCGAAATAATCCTTCATGTGCTCTTTGTAGCTTGCCTTCATCTTTTCCATATTACCATGTAGAATTGGTGGACGAATGTACATATATGAACCGTATCTTGGATCTGAACTGGTTTGGATGGCGGAGGTTCACCATTCTAAAACAGAGTGGCACCTTTGTTTAGAGAAAAAACCTACTAAAATCTTGACAGCATTTATGTTATCTGAGATCAATTGAAATAGTGAAACAGAAAAAAGACATATTATTTCGAAAGAATGGAACAAAAAGGCGGATTGTTTTGAAAGAAGAGGAAAAAGTAGTTTACCTTCCGAGACATTGCATATGTTTCATGAGGTATTATCATTAGTTTTTGTGGATATTTGCATAACTGAAAAGAAAATATTTTCGACATTATAAATTTTTTTTGTAGATTTCAACATAGATTTAAATATTTGAACAATGATTGACAATTTTAAGATTAGAAAGTACTTTTGAGTAACCAAACTATCATCTTTAAAATATAAAAATTCTTACCCGCTGAAATGCAGTTGCAAACTCAAGGCAATTTTGGAACAAACTGACTCGTCCCAATACATAAAGACCTAAACGTGCTCGAGAAAGAGCCACAACTAAACGACGAACATCCCTAGAAATTAAGGTGTTAGTGCTGCTTATTAATATCAAAAAGTAGAAGACGGAAATTCCTTGAAGTGTTGTAAACGTAAACCAGAAAATATTAAGGTAGATCAAAATCAGAGATAGACCCTCAATTTGTAATCAAACCTTAAGTGACCGATGTTTCTCGTCCTTACAAGTGAAAGAATGATGTAATCATTCAGTCCTCTCTGATATTTGTCAACTGTTGAAACCTGAAAAATGATACTCCATGAACAGTTATTATAACTGATCAATATCTACTATTATTCGATGAAGAATTAGAATGCATCTCTTCTCACTTCACATTTAAATGGGACATGGCGTACGTTCTGATGCACTGGAAAGTTTTTCTAATATATGCGTACTAAATAGAAATCACATAATTCCTTCCATAAGGTATAAGACGAAAGTTTTAGAAAATTTAACACGAAAAATTACCATATGAAGAAAGCATTCGAAAAATGGCACATTCTGAGGGCTGATAATAACAGACAGACCTTGTGTGATACTCCAATTAACGGATTTCCAGCATATCGTGTTTGCACAACATCACGTAGCAAAGATGCTTGGCCATTGTAGGTTGTTATAATTGATATTTTTTCTGCAGGGTAACCCAAAATACGCATATAGGTGAACAGTGCTTCACCGAGGTTCTGAAAGAAATTGAGTCTTAATTAAAGACTTTCCCAAACCAAAATGAAAAAATTGAGGAAGCAAACCTGATAAAAGTAAGGGCTCAAAGTAGTTTCACCACTACCATTGAAATCCGGGACGTCAATAAGTTGATAACTGAATGCGAATCCAGAATTTGCGCGTTGGGACTCTGGAAGAGCTTCAATATGTGGTAAGTTACCCAACTGTTCATACCTCCAATTATAAAGATCTGGTATCCTGAAATATACCATGTTAAGGGTCTATGCTCACTAGACACGAGAAATTTGCTAAGAATTATTTTGATTAATTCCAAGGATGTGTGCTCAAAACATACTCCGCTCTAGCACGACCCTGTTGATTAAGCAGGACATGTGGAACACCAAGTCGAACAAATCTCGCAAACAGGCTCTGTTCCATGTTAGAATATTTTTGAAAAACAATGTTCTGAACAACCGGCGGCAGCTGATGATGGTCACCAATCATGATCCATCGCTTTAACCTGCTCCTACCATCTTGGGGGTTCTAAAAATCATGGTATTTTATTACAATGACTTGTAGCAGAGAAAGATTTAATAAAACAATCTGAACCTTGATATAAGCGAATAAATCAAAGAATTTGGAATACAGAAATATACTTCGTCATTTCCAGTTACCTGAAGCAGAAGTGGAATAAATGTTTCAACTTCAAGAATTTGAGCGGCTTCTTCCATCAAAATAGTGTCATATCTGAAACCAAGTTCTACCAAGTCTTTTTGTCGTAGAGCGGCATGAGTGCAAGTCATAGCAATAATTTTGGCTTCCTTTATCTGAAATCTTTGGAATAACATTGTTGAATTCGGTTTGATCACTATAAAAATGCAAATGAAAATCAAAAAATGTGTACAAAAACATCATTTCAAAATTAACCAAAAGATAATCCGTACGGTCCCTGCCTGAACGCAACAACTCGAAAGACCTAAATTCTTCCAGCTGAGTGAAAATACCACGAATATACCGCCAAGAGCCTTGAGCAATTTCCCAGTTTTCATCAAAGGAAACATCCTAAAATCGTTAAGTAAAAAATAAAAGGTAATAAATACTCGGTTTTTAAGCGGGAAACCACATTAATGAAAGGAATCAAATTATAAAGTAATGCAAACAATTTCAATATATTTTTATCCATCATGCGAAGTCAGCTCAAGATTTTCCCCATTATATAGGAATCACTGATCGAAAAGGATGAAAAGTATTTTTACCTTAAACAACGGTGGTGGATTATCGGCAAAGTATCTCGTAAAGGGGAAATGATCCCTAACTGCTTTCGCACTAGGATTTGGATTTGCTTTTGATTGAGCAACATCACTTTCAAATTTTTCCCAACGTGCAAATACCTGAATGATACGCATGACAAATCGCACATTTAAGATGATATGGTAACAAGCGATAAAATTCATAGAATTAATTAGAGATGCTGAGAATTACAGAATAAAATACTTACTTTTAATTAACAAATTACTGAAAAGAGCAGCAACAAAAGATTACAGAGGAATTGTAGTAAAGACCTGATAAAGAAAGAAATATCCAGCAGTTTCGCACGTGTAAGATACGTCACCT